TCATCCGGAGCTTGGATTTTAGGAATCAGAGCTAGAACAGTATCATTTACCTCCCTTGGAAGATTCCCTGTCACAAAACAGTTTTGTATAGCCTTTGTGATTTCTGCTCCAACAACATCCCAAGTAGCCTGAAAGAATCGCGCATTAAATCCATCTGGGTCGGGGCTCTTATCCCCATTGAATCCAAACATAACCTCTTTAACTTCAGCAGCAGTGATAGGTGCACAGACAGAAAATAAATGCACCATCTTAGGGTTTATAATTTATGATTTAGATAATTAGGATATAGGGTTTTTTTTCCAAGAAATGTCAAAAGAGAGAACTATACAAACTACCAGAACACCTCCCAACCTAATACATCAATGAAGCCACCCAACAAAGTCGAAAGAACATAACTCAAGAGGAGAAAGAAGCAGGGCTTTCTGCGCCACTCTATGGGCAACCCTGTTAGCAGTCCGAGGCACTGCCCTAAACTCTAAGGAGACAGAAACAGAAGCAAGGAGAATGAAGCAATCTCGAAGCACCGGTCCTCCTAGGGAATCAGAAGAAGCACCCTGACGAAGCTGACGAACCACCACTTCTGAGTCACCTTCGATGACACGAGGGAGTGACTTGGAGACCAACAGGGAGATGGCGTCTCTGGCAGCAAGAAGCTCCGCTAGGTAGGGATCAGTAATGCCGAAGTGCTTAAACCCTACTGCCAAAGCTACATGCCCGTCTGCTCCACGAACTACTAGACCAGACGAACAACCGGAAACACGAACCACAGCATCAAAGTTGATCTTCAAAAAATCATCAGGAGGAGGGATCCAGGAGAGAAGGCGAGAACTTGGAGGTTGACGGGGAGGGGCAGGCGCAGGAGGAAGAGAAGAAGAGACTTCACGGACTTGGAAAAAACATTGGCGAGCTAAAGAATGGGCATGAGGTTGCAAATACTCAAAAACCACCTTATTTCGAGACTTCTAGATTCTCCACAATAAGCAAACGTACAGAAGAACATGGGTTTGGGGGTGCTCAGAAAGCATAACATGTCGCCACCAGAGACTGAAATTCACAGTCGGGGCCGAGGCAATGAAGTCATTTAGGCCCATAAGCGACCGCAATCTGGTGGCCAAGGGCCATATGAAGAACAGGTGTTCAATACTTTCTGGACTTCTCCAGCAAACCGGGCACCGGGTACGACAATTAATCCCTCTAGACTTAAGCGCTACCACAGTTGGAAGAATCACTCTTAGACATTGCCAGATGAAGAATTTTAATTTTGGAGGAACCAGAATATCCCAAGTTTTCTTCCAGATAGGGGGATCTATAATTTGCACCAGGGGTTTTCGACTCGAGACTAAAGAAATTTCTAAAGCCAGGTGGTATCCCGTTTTAACTATATAGGAGCCATTTTTTGTAAAGTGCCAGACTCTTGTGTCTCTTTGTTGGCATCTAGGAAGAGGGGTTTTGCGAATAAGACTAACTGTAATGGGATCAAAACAGTATTGAAGCCTTGGGATATGCCACTCTCATCCACTTCCTCTAATAAAGAAGAAGACTCTGGGGAGTTTGTTATATTCGAAAGCAGGACCAAAGGAGTGATGGGTTTCTATGAAACAACCCACTTGTCCTTGAAGGCTACAATGTCTTGTCCATCTCCAACTTGCCTCCTTAACCCTTGGAGAAGGAGATCTCTTCCAAACAAGATACTACGCCATCCCCAAGAGGGATTGGAACCTAGGGTGGCATCTAGTACTGACCCATGATGGAAATAGCGACCTTTATAAATTGATGCCAGAAGAGACTCCGGATTCTTCCAGATCCGCCAACATTGTTTTGCTAACAGAGCCTGATTAAAGGCACCAAAGTCCCTGAATCCTAGACCACCTAGAAATTTACTATGTGCTAAACTTTTCCAGTAAACCCATGTGGATTGGATGATCCACATTATCTGTCGAACCCCACCAAAATCTAGCCACGTGACTATTTAACCGCCGACAATTTTCTTTAGGGATCTTAAAACAAGACATGCCATGAACTGGTAAGTTGGTAGCTGCTGTCCTAATCAAAATGTCTTTACCTGCTTTAGACAGGGTTCGTTGTTTCCATCCTTGAAGTTTTTTAATGAGCTTCTCTTCCATGAAATGGAAAGACTCCTTTTTTGATCTAGTAATAGTTGATGGAAGGCTCAAGTACCGGTCTTGTTCTCCAATGCTACCCACACCTAGTTGTGCCCCTAATTCTAAGGCTAGGTTTAGATCCATATTGCGGCTAAATAAGACCGTTGACTTTTGAAAATTGACCCGTTGTCCACTCAATCCTTCATAGGCTTGGAAAAGAGAGAGAATTGTTGTGCATGATTGCGAGGTAGCTTCTAAAAAGAGATAGGAGTCGTCTGCAAAGAATATGTGGGAGACCATTGGTCAAGATGCCCTGATTCTAACCCCCTCCAAGTACCCCATAGCTATTGTATGTCTTATCATTGCTGAAAAACCTTCTGCACAAATGACAAATAATAGGGATGGGAGAGGGTCTCCTTGCCGAAGGCCTCTTGAAGGACGAAAATAGCTGGAGGGAATTCCGTTCAACAGTACCGAGTAGGAGACTGTCGTGACACATTCCTTTATCCAAGATATAAACTTTTGGTCAAAACCCAATTCCTTCATTATTTCGAAAAGGAACGGCCATTCCACTCGATCGTATGCCTTTTCCATATCCAATTTTAACGCCATCCAAGTTTTCCGCCCAAAGGTCATCATTCGGAGATGGTGAGTTACCTCATGACTGATTAAAATACTGTCTGAGATTTGACGTCCTTTTATGAAACCATTTTGAGTCTGAGATATTATGCTTGGAAGGACTCGACTGAGTCTATTGGCCAGGATCTTAGCTATGATCTTATAAATTACTTGGCATAGACTAATGGGTCTAAGATTTTTCATGGACCTAACTTCCGCTGTTTTTGGGACAAGGGAAATCCATGTTCTATTGATAGATCGAAGGAGATGTCCAGAATGAAAGAAAGCTAGGAGAGCTTGGGTGACTTCATTGCCGACTGTATCCCAATAAGCTTGATAAAACCCTGCTGTAAAACCATCTGGACCAGGTGATTTAGTCTTTCCCATACCAAAGATCACTTCTTTGACTTCTTCATATGTAATCGGATGAATGAGGGCCCGATTTTGTTCTTGAGAAACTAGACCTTCAAACGGCAAGTTAGACAGGTTAATGCCTTCAGTGAGTTGGGTTTGGAATAAGGATTGATAAAATTCTACTGCTATGTTCAGTTTTTCATCCCCATCCATGCACCAGAGACCTCTAGAATCCTCTAAGCCCCAAATGAAGTTGGCTTGCCGCCTAATTGCCGTTATCATATGGAAATATGGAGTATTGCAATCCCCTTCCGTTAGCCAGTTAACTCGAGACTTTTGTCTCCAATAGACTTCTTCCATTCTATATTGGAGTTCTAGTCTTTCTTCCAGTTCTTGAATTAGCTTCCAATCAACTACGATGTTTTTCCTTGCATTATCAAGAGCTAGATTGAGGTCTTTTATTAATCTGCCTGAGTTTGATGTTCCTCCTTTGCACCAATCTACTAGTGCGTGCCGGACTCTGAGTAGTTTATAAAACAAGCAAAATTGTAGGATATAGGGTTAACTCATTGAGGGTTATGGTATTGTGTCATGCCCAAAAATCCTACTAATTCGAGGTCTAGATAGCGTTTTCATACTCAACGTATGCGATATCTCGGTTTTCACCCAGGTACCGTAGAATCCACGTTATTTGTAAATGTAAACTCTACATATAATTTATTTACAAATTGCACAATTAATAATTGCAATAAAACGTAAATACACCAAACAATCACAAAAAAGTGGTAGCGACTCCTTTTGGCGACGATGAAATACGCGTCGCTAAATATGGTCGTCTTTCACCGGCCTCCCAATTTCATTTTATTCGGTCGGCATGTTGTCGAGCTGAAGAATTCTCGCCGCCAGAACCTGGCCGGGCCATAGGATTTCTTCGGACGAGACGTGATCAGACCATCCATTTCCTTTGGCCCAGCATACCTTTTGCGATTGTTTGTTTCGCTATTGCTTCTTAATCGTCAGTAAAGCTCGTCGTCTACAACAAAAAGAGACTGTTCCTTGGTATTTTGGGACGAAAATTTAGAAAGAGTTTCGTGACCGGCGCTAAGCATAGCCATGTACCTAGAGCCTAACCCTTCCGACAACGAAAATGACTTGCCAGCGTCGATAAATTCTAAAAATCCGGACGATGGTTTTTTTAATTTGTTGTGAGCAAGTTTGTCAACCCAATTTAACTCATTGGTCCAATCGAACAAGTGGTTTGAGGGTCGATGGTTTACCGCTCATCTAATGACATTAGACTGTGTAAGGTTGTCAAGCAAATAAAAATTGAGTTGGCGTCTTGAGACAAATAACTTGAGAACAAATAACTGTTCACATTTCATAACCCTCTAAACTAACTTGGCTTGTATTACAACTTTATTCTTATTACGATTATATTACCATATGCTAACTTGCTTATCATAGTTCATTAAGATACTTTCGCCTCCAGCTGAACGTGCTCAGAGATTGGCTGATTCCGAGTCTAGTGTCTATTCGGAATCGATGTAGGAAGATGCAAAATCCAGTGTCAAAACCAAATACTTCAGAATACACAGAATGTCTTTCTGTGTTCCTGCGACGGATGGTTCGACAATAATAACTCCTCAAGCCTCCCGACACCACATAAATGATCACATACTTGACTGGTAAGCAGCAACAAGCGAAACACGTACTTAAGCAAACTACAAGAACCAAGTCTATGCTGGTAACTAAAAGTTACTGCACGGATTAAGGGAGACGAGTGCACGACGACTAGACTGGTGTTTCCACCCCCTGTTTACATGTCCCAAACCATGGGGAGGTTTCCACTGAGCCTAGCAACAATACAAAACATAGTCAGTCAAACAGATAGTGGAGAGCGCAGCAGCATTGCACAGAAGCCGGCACTCAGTACTGGCTCCTTCTAGAATTTGCCCGGCTGTGAACCACCTGCATTGCAAAACCATTTCCAAACTAAGGAGGAAGCACGGCACAATAAAGATAGCAGCAGGAGATAATTCTCATACATGTGGCTTGCATGCTATGAAAATGTTATGATGCTTCACAGAGAGCAGACACATCCATTCAGTTCAACTTGTAAGATTCACAAGATAAACTATGCAGAAGAGTAAGTGAACGTAGAAACTCAGGAGCAAGATGTTAAGACCTGATCAGCTCGAACTCCATGACTTGACGATGATGACGATGGTTCTTCTGCCTGATCACCCTACCAATAAAACAATGACACGCCATGTTGAGAGTAATGTTCCACAAAAGAGTATTGGTGAAACAAAACCAAGTTGAATTTACCTGGTTGAAGTGATTGTATCTTGATTGCACAGGAACCCCCATCTTCTGAAGCATAAGCTCCATGTTTGAGTTCATCCTATCAATCTGCGCTTCCATTGAGGTATACTTTTGCTCCATTACCTCGACTTTACTGCAAACTGCCTCAACTTTATTAAAAATCTTGTTTGCCTCCTCATCAGCTTGCCTTTTGGTTTCCATGGCCATTTTTGCAAATTGGATATGGCCACACTTTCTTCCCCAAAGAGTAGCAGGGCTAGGTCCTCCTAGACCATACATGCTCACATGCTTTTTATTTCCTTCGTCTGTAACTTTGAAGAAAGTGTCATGAGAACTATCACTGACTTCAGAATTTTGCTGCCTCCGACTAGTTTTTTCTTGCAATTTTTCCTGAGACAAAAGGTTAAAATACCAAGTTTCATGTTGTAACTCATAATTATAACCACTGATTTATTAACTGAGTGACATTCAGAACATACAAATACTTCTGCAGCATCCTCATTTACAGGATTTCCATCCTTTCGTGTATGGGTCAGCACAAACAACTCTGCCCTAGTAGGAGTCTTCCCATCCGCCCTTTTTGCACGCTGCTCAAAATGCACACAAAAAAAATACCACAAACATTAGCATTTGAACAAATAGTAACTACATGAGTTTGCAATTTAATTTCAGCGACGCACCTCTTCCTCTCGTATGGTTGCATAACTCTTTGAGCCGGAGGTGTGTGAATGCTTTACATGAGCACGATTTGCCCTATTCCTAGCACAAAGCAACTATAAAAAGAAACATCATATCAGCTTCTGACTTCATAAAAATACATAATTATTTTGGACCTCATTTTCCCCCTACCCACATGACATACCTTCACCTCTTCCTTGTTCCAATAGGATACGAGGCTTGGCCACTGGTCTGGAATGACTCTTTTGTCGAGATTCCTCATGCGTTCCTCATCAGTCTTGCATGAGAAATAATATGTTTTCAACCTTGATTTCCAGCTCTTCCATTTTGAAAAAAGAGACTTCATGACCCAAGATTTTGCCATGGGATCAATCTCGAACTTTGCCTTCAAAAGACGAAGAAAAGGATAAATTTAAAGACAATGAATCAAAGGTCGCAGAAATTGTACGCCTTCAGATATGCTCCTCTCCATATTTCGGCAATAAATAATCTGGCTTCAAACCAGTTACCTGAACCAACTGCCACATGTTTTCCTTGTTTGCTTTTGGCAATGCAGCCCATTTCACATAGTTAAGGGGAGCCAAGGTACCATCCCGTGCCAAGGTGCCCAGAAATGAAGCCAGCTTTCTTCCTTCAGAGCCAATTGGTTGTCCCAAATCATTAAGGTGAACAACCATTTTGCTACCATCAGGCATGTCCCACACAAAACGACACCGGGACGGGCCTCGTACTCGCCTCTTTGAGCTACGAATGGCTGCTAATGGACTGTCTGGGCTGCTGGAATTTCCAGAATACTCATGCTGGGCTGGATTATGAAAGGAGGGGGTCACAGTTCCCATCTGATAACCATCCCATTCAACTTGTCTCTCGCCCCTCAAGCCATTCTCACCTGACAAGCATGAGTTGATAACTTAAATAAGTGAAAAAGGCTTGTTATACTGAAGGACAAGCACACAAGATAGATAGAAATCTAATCACATGGCACAGCTGTTACTCTTTAGACTATCCAGTCGAGATAAACTACATACAGCCTAACAAATGCCCATATAAGTTGTCTGCAAAAGGTGTACCTGAAGTACACCACAGAAGACAAAGATACAGAAGAACGATAGGCAAGATAGGGACAAAAGAGAAGCATACCTCCAGCATGTGAAGCTGTAGCAAACTGCTCAGAGTGTTGTGGCTGTGCAATGCTTCCCTCATGTATCTGGGATACATGTCGCTGGCTTTGACTCGCTGGAGGTGGTTGTGGTTGAACTTGATTCTGGCTGATAACTGTGGGGTTAACTGCATCTGTAGACAGAAAGCCATTTTGCCCCAAATTACTCTTAGTGAACGGCCCATCTGGAGATCCTACGTAACAAAGGAAACATAATTCCTTGTAAGTGCATAATGCAACATCAGCATTACAGCTCCAGCATCATAAGAACCTGGAGAGTTTATATTCACATACTTGCCCCATCATTCTCTGGAACAAGAGACCGAGCTGGTTGCTGTTGACTAACACTCTGCCCACGACGTCGCAGGTAATATATGCTTGAATTTGGCTGATGCTTGGAATGGCTGGACTTAGTCATCCTGGGAGTCCGTGCATCTTTTGTTTGTTTCCTAGCAGAGTCCGGTGAGGGTGCATACAAACGTCCTGCAAAAAAATGACCATCATGTAGAAGACCGCTTAGATCATTCATATCAATGCAATTCATTTACAATTTCAGATGTGACCCCTATTCTTGCCTCAACAACTTTAGTAATCACATTACTTCCTAAATTTTCATACCAATTCACATCAATACAATTCATTTCCAATTACAATTGGCGGACCTTCGGAATCGTTCGGAAGTTTGGTTTTTTAAATCTATCCCTCCTATGAATATTTTTCCTCGTCATGTTTTATTAATCCAAAATTACTCTACCCACAGCAAAAGGGAATTGATAAATATTGGTTAGGGGTATCAAGCTCACTTTACCTTTAAAATCACAATCCAGTAACAACAATGCACCCCAAGAAGTCCAACACCCAAAAGTTTGAAAGAGTGTTAAAATCCATCACTCCCCAAATCCATGGATTTCGTACATTCCATCACTTTTAAATCTCATCCATACAGTCCCTACATGTTTTCTCAATACAAATCCATCGTACAACTACATCCATACAGTTTGTATAAATCAAATTAGAAAAAAGAAATTAAAATTATATGTGGCATTACAAAGTACATCGCTGCTTTGCAATAGAGACCACTCATGCAATTGCCAATTAATTGCCACGTGGACTTTGCAATCAAATTGAAATTGCCAATGCGGGTGCTCGGTGCTCTTAAGCACAAGCTGACAAGAGAAACAATATTATTTAAAAAAAACTCCCACTTGGAGATGAGTAGATGAACCAAACTATGAAAAGACTCCACTTAAGTCCGCAGGTTTCGACTTGAAACGGTTATCTTCCCACTCTTTTGCAGTTCGATAATATGGAAGAGCAATTTGTAACTGGTTGTTCTCAACCTTCACAGATCATCGAAGTGCAAAGATAGCATAATTAACAACTAAGTAATTCAATAACTTGTAGAACTAGATACCTGCATCATTTGCATTGATTCTGGACTGCAGCTGTGACAAATCATTGGTGGTTGGCTGCAGTGGAGGAACCTGGGCCTTGTGACTATAGCTTGATGGAGGCACCGGAACCTGGTGACTGTAGCTTGATTGGGTGACCCGAGCTGGTTGCTTTTGAGTCGGGTTATCAACAAGATTCGCTGCACAACTAGCCTCACAACTGGTGCGTCCCGTCCTTTGATTGGTACTAGGTGCAAACTCAGGTTGTCCTTCACAATTTAATTGAATATAAGCAATACTTTCAACATTAGCACCAAGGTAATGCAATGATGCAATTAAAAAACAGCAAGGGCATCATGGATTTTAATGCACTCCAAATGCATTAGTGACAAATCATGAAATATATAACACCAAAGACAGAAGAATGGTTGGTCATTCTGCGGCCAAGACCATTTCCATGAACATGACAGGAATTCAAAAGACTGCCAGCATAAACTGATTATCAGAGCAACCAAAGACCTAAGAAAAACCTCAACATAGTGAAAATATACCTGTAGTCTCTTGCATTTCAGTACGCAAGCCAGCTGCTGTCCAGTATTTCAGAAACTTCTTCCTCACTCTCTTCATAAGGTATACAATATAGTCACCTTTCTTGTTATACTTCAAACAATGCGCCCAAATGCACTCCACGTCCTTGTATACGTCATCAGCATTTAGGTACTTGAAACCATTCTGAAGATTGCTGCATATTGTTCCAAAATCCATAGGTGCATCTCTTGCATCAATACGATTCTGCACATGAACACACAAAAAAAAACTCCATCTAAAACCACTATATGGATGTAAGAGAAGTAGAAAATACATTTACATCATTAATTAAGAACAATAGCATCATGCTGCAGTAACATCAGTTGAAAGTCATATTAAAGCGCATTCACTTGGTTGAGATAGAAAGAAAGATTCAATCTTGAAAGTTTGTATTAATTTCTGAATGCCAAGTCATGTAATAGCAACAACTATCGCATGCGCATGCTTAAAACAAACCTGGCATATACTCTTCTTGTCCAAAACACGAACGGACATTATGAAGAAACAATGATCTTAGTATTGTGCATTGGCTCCAAATCAGCTTACAATATTGTTGTTTACTTTGGCTCATCTACTCATCCCCCTTTGAAAGATTTTAAAGATTATGTTTGCTGGTCAATGACAACAGTACCAACTTTCTATAGACTCTGCTAAGTAGTTTAAAATATACTGTCCTAGTCAGTCAGTAGCTCGTATACCAGCTACCCCATCCAAGGCATCGAGATCTTGAATACACGCAATACAGTAAGTGCACGTAAGCATTCGTGATGGATTATCTAGTTTCACTTTGCCCTTACAATGCAAAAAGAGAACTGTTCATACTTACAGGAACAGGATCTACAGGAGCGCTGAATGATGCAGCTTCATCCATATCCATTATCTTCTTAATGATCTTAGAACCACATTAAAGAAAAAAAAGGATTATCGGCAAGTCGAGTAAACATATAATGTAATCAACTAATCATACAACTAAGATTAGAAAACATGGGGAGAGAAACTAGTCATAAACATACTGCAAATGAAGTTTTTAGTTCCGTCTCGTTGTATCGGGGATCCTGGCACGACTTCTTTGATCTCTTTTCTTTACTGCTCCAAGGATGCAACCCACTCAATGAGGTAGCCTGCAAATTGCTAACACTCTTTGTGGCATACCCTTCTCTAGGCCGACCACGTTTGCGCCCTGATTTATCACCACCCCACCAGTCAGTTCCTGGAACGTCGAAGCCACTAATATTATCTTCAACATGGAATGAGTCACCTCCACTTGATGAAGAAGAAGACGAATAAAAGCCAGGGCCAGAACCCATTCCACGGAGCCCGAGATCCTTAGATTTGTCCAGCCCAAGGTTTTCTTGGGCAATCTGGCCGACAAGGTTCAGGAATGCCTGCTTATTGGCATTAAGTGCTGCAGCTGCAGTCAAAGGGGCTGAAGCAGCAGAAAGAGTTGCTGTGCCAGCTGCAGCAGCAGCAAAAGGTTGTGTGGCAGTATGATGCTCGGGTGAGGCAGCAGTTGGAGGAGCAGCAGCAGAAGAAGCTCCCTTCTGTACATTCTTCTTTGGGCGTCCAGCCCTCCGCTTGGTTCTCATTACTATGAAGAGAACTCAATCAGTGGGCTTTTTCTCGGTTCCCTTGGAGGATTCTTCGCTGCTTAACCTGTCATCAAACCCAGAAGCTTGCAGCTCAGTAACTAAGAATTTCTTACTAGAAAGGTGAAACCAATGTCCTGCTGCAATGACCAAACAAGTAAATAAATAAGTGACTCAGTCCTAAATCTTCGATTCTAGTGTTCCTAGGGACATACAGAAAGCTCAAACACCAGAACTACAGCTCCCCCTTTGCTATCTCGAGCCGTCTCAGACGAAAAGATAACGAATTACATCAAACTCAAAGCGAAAAGCAAGAAGCTCAAAACCAGAAAAGGGGGTGGAAGGAGGTACCTTGGAGTAGGGAGCTTAGAAGACCAATAATGCCGGAACTAGGGTTTTGAGAATTGGGGAATGGGATCTACATCTACGGCAGTAATCAAAAGAGTAGAAGGGTGTTCATTGGGAAGTTAGGGCTGGCGGGAGATCGTGTGGTGGACTGGTGGTGGTGAAGTTGGGAAGTCACAACTCACAAATCTGGAATCCCGTCGCAATTTCTTTTTCGAAGTTGGTCTCCAAATCTCCAATTTGCATTCGCATCACTCTCGCTGATTTTATCGCAGGTATTATGGCACCAAGCAGATTTTCTTTTGTCACCAAAAATAAATAAAAATGGTACAACCAAATTTACTCTATTGGTTAAATATTTGAAGTTGTAGGTTTGAATCTCTATAGGAGCAAGTTGTGATATTTTTATATACATTAACAAAGAGTTAATTGCATGATTGGTTATTGAGATTACAAAAAACGTTCATGTTTGGTCACTGAAAATATTTAAATCCAATCTTGGTCACTCAAATTAGTTAAATGGTTCAAGTTTGGTCACTCTCCGTCTAACTCCGTTAAATATGTCTGATGTGGCAGTCAACCCTCAAAGTTGACCGTTAACTTGGTGACGTGGCAATTAAAAAATAATAAATAAAATAAATTTTAATCTTCTACCATTTCCAACTCATTTTTAAAGTAAAATAAAAAAAATTAAAAAAAATTATTATAAATGGCTTCTACCGTTTGGTCACACGCCGCAATTGCGAAATTGCCCTCGTCCTCGGCGACCTGGCCGACGAATCCGCCGTTCTGTCCAAGAAATTGCTGAGGGCGGCGCCGGCCGCCGCCAAAGTCAGCTAGATTTTGAGGCAGGAGCATTGCTCCGGGAGCACTCTGTATTCCACTAAAGCTCGGTTCTCCGAGACCGGCGGCCAGCACGATATCCTGATTAAATGCAGCGGCGGCGGCGGCGAGGGGGAGAAGGAAGGGCTGAAGCAGAGGCATCACCACCCTGTTCTCTCCGTCTGTATCGATAAGAAGGTTGTGATTCGGGTGAAGAGGTTGCAGTGGAATTTCAGAGGGAACCAAACGATTTTCGTTGATGGGTTGCTTGTGGATCTGATGTGGGATGTACATGACTGGTTCTTTCACCCGGCGGCGACGGATCTGATGTGACCCCCTGTTTTTCTTTTTCCACCAACAGAACTGTTCTGTGACTCTGTTTTTCATCTTTGGCATGTAGCTAAAATGTTTCCTCTCTGTTTTATGAGAATTTGTTGAAGAGACTTTAGCATCTTTGGCGTGTGACCAAACGGTAGAAGCCATTTATAATTTTTTTTATTTTTTTTTATTTTACTTTATTGTGAAAATGAGTTGGAAATGGTAGAAGATTAAAATTTATTTTATTTATTATTTTTTAATTGCCACGTCAACGAGTTAGCGGTCAACTTTGAGGGTTGACTGCCACATCAGGCATATTTAACGGAGTTGGACGGAGAGTGACCAAACTTGAACCATTTAACTAATTTGAGTGACCAAGATTGGATTTAAATATTTTCAGTGACCAAACATGAACGTTTTTTGTAATCTCAGTGACCAACCATGCAATTAACCCCATTAACAAATAATCTAAGAAATCGTGTAGTTTTCTTCTTTTACTGAAGGGAGAAACAATCAGTCATCATTTTCATGGAGCTCAAGACCATATTGTCATTAGAAATAGAATTTTTGGTTCAACCATATAGTTTCATAGTCCCTCTAGAGATATCATATAGTGAAGGTCGATTTTATCCTTACTTTAAGGTACATATATATTAGTGATATTAAATTGTTGTAAAAATGCAAAAAATTTGTGTACTAACATAATAAGTTAGTATATGATTGTGTCGGTGTTATTGATGAAAGTCAGTTTCGTGCTAAAGTTTTACTAGAAGAAGCATCAAGATATAGGGGTAGGAAATGAATCTCCACAATAAACATATTAATAGTATGCACATTTGACCTAAAGTTCACCTATATTTTGACTGGATGGGAAGGGTCAGTTTCTTATTCAAGAATATTAGACAATACTTTAACAAAGGATGACAAACTAAAAGTTCCTTCAGGTGGTAGTGGGAGATTAAAAAAATGTGCTTGTTCAATAGTACTCCATAAAAAAAATATTTTTCCTGTTTAAATATAGGTAAATTTTACTTGGTTGATGATAGCTATGCTCTGAAATATGGATTGATCGCACCATACTGAAACACAAGATACCATTTAAAAGTGTATCCTCGTTGTCTTATGTTGAACTCAAAAGAGTTGCTCAATTTTCGACAAGCACCATTATGTAATGCAATTGAGAGGGCTTTTGGTGTATTGAAAAAGAGATTTCCCGTTATTGATATTGGTTCAAAAGCTCATCATGATGTCAACCCACACGTTAGAAATAGTGCTTGTTTGTTGTATTTTGCATAACTTTCTTTTGATGTATGATCGTGACAAAGATATTCTTCGTGAGGTTGATAAAGAATTGATGGAAAATAGTGTAGAAGAATAAGAGAGTGGATATGATCAGGGACAGAGCCAGCTTGTTGGCAAGGGAGGCCATTTTAAAACTTATGTAAATTGCATGTATACAAACACGGGAAGATAGTCTAAGTGGTTAGTATGCCAGCTTGGATTTCATCGTTTGTGGTAGGTCAGAACTTCGACTCACAACCTTGTATAATTTTAGGGTAAATACAATATATTAGCCAAACTATTATGAAGCGGGAAATTATGGCCACAACTATGAAAATTCAAATTATTAACCATAACTATTGTTGCGTGTCAAGATATGGCTAACTGTCTGTTATTTTTTATTGGATTTTTAATGGAGAAGGTCATGTCATCGGCCACGGCAGCAGCCACGTACGTCAGACTGCTTTTAATGTATAACTTTGAAACATAAAAATTTAGTCAGTATTATGAACAAAATTGTTAACAGGTAGTTAATATTTGGCTAATAATTTGAATTTCCATAGTTGTGGTTATAATTCCCCGCTTCATAATAGTTGTGGCTAATATATTGTATTTACACCCACAATTTTAATATGTTTACTATGTGTATAAGCTTTCTACGTATATATGATTAGTATTGCTCTGTTGCTCTATCGGTTGAGCCTAGACTAGAGGAAAGTAGTTTGACCCACACAGTTGCCACTTTTTAATGAATGGTTTGCTAATATTTAGTCTTTGCTTCTTAGTTTGATTAACTTTTTGTTTGACATATATAAGTATTCGTACATCCAAAATATTATTACTTTTGTGAAAAATTGATTTCATTTCTTCGTTATATAAATATATTAGTGATTTGTTCTTTAAGAGTTTAAAAAATTACATGTTTTTTATAGTTTAAATACTTATTCAAATAAATCCTTCAATAAAATTCTGTCAAATTGGTTAGTTTTGTAGTGTTTGTCAATAATTTTTTGACATATTTTACCTTATAATGTCATGGGGGAAAATTCGGCCCTCTAATTTAAAATCCTGACTCCGTCTCTGGATATGATAATGGAGATGCATATGCTACGATGACATAACAAATTAGAAACCATATAGCAATCTAGATGTGGAGTAACTATAGTTTGAGATGTTAGCTACCTCTCCTAATTGTGTTTTTCATAGTTCTTGAAGCACCTTTTGGTTACTATATCGAATATTGTTGTCTCCAATGGAAGTTTTTTCATGCACTTAGTTCTCAAGCATTCTCTCAAGCATTCTCATGTATTTTGTATTTGTTTAATGGTTAAAATATAGGGTTAATATCCTAGTTTGGCACGAAGTTTGGAGTATGTGATAGTTGTGGTCCAATTTTTCAAATAAGACGTTTATGGTCTACTTTTGAAACTATTGGACGAATTTGGCCCGAGAGATAGTTTGACCATCATAATCGGTCAACAATGTAGTCAAAATTGCGCTTTAAAACTTATGCTTTTATGTTTTTAAGTCACAAAACCGCTTTTATGCAAAATCTCCGTTTTTATAGCTAATGTAGTTAAAAATGCTCTTTAAAGCTTAAAAACTTACGATTTTACGCTTCTAGATCACCAAAACGTTTTTAAGTAGAAACACGCTTTTGACTACATTACGGTCAATCATTTTTTCTGTTGTGACTCAGCATTCGCTGCTGACTAGGCTCGTCCACATCTTTTAAAATTAAAACATGAAAATAAAATAAAACATATTCAACAAGAGAAAAAACAACTTTGAAGATCATCCCTATTTTTTTTGCCGAGAATGATCCTCCATCTTCCTCTCATTCCCATATTCCCCCCTTCCAAGCTTCCATCGCCAGTCCGCCCTCCCCTTCTTCCCCATCACAAATGGAAGCCCTCCTCCACCAATCCATCTGTGTTCAATTGATGGAAGCCCTTCTTCTTCCCCATCACAACTGCGGCGTGTGCAGGGGATAAAAATCCCTGACCCCTGTTCTCGAAGGAAGAGAGGAAAATAGAGGAAAGGGGAGGGAATAGGAGGGGAGGTTAAGGAAATTGGGAGGAAAATTATGTTTTATGGAGGAAAGTAGGAAGGAAAATATGTATTGGGAATTGTGATGGATGTGTTATTTTATTGGGTATATAATAGTAAACTAATTTGATGATATGTTGATATTATTTTCATTGGTTAGAAATTATGAATTAAATTTGTACTTTCTTACTAATTATTTTTTGTAACTTGAACTGGCATAAATCGATTGTACCACCGGTCGGAACATATCATATTATCACTTGTCAAACCGGCGTAACGATACCTACATGTTCTGCACGTGTGCGATAAGTGCCACGTAGTAATAATATTTAATTCTCTAATAATTAGATAATAAATATTTATACCAAATAAATTTTCGTTTAATAGAAAAAGATTGAGAAGAAAAACCTAATGTAAAGCACTCTAATTTAGCTGCCCTTATCCTCACCTCTCAGCCCTCACTTATTCTCTGTCTCAAGAAAAAGAAAAGGTACTCTAATCTAGATCTCCTTTCCATTCCCGCCTCCAGTCTTCCATCGTCATTCCCATTTTGTGATGGCCAGACAAAAGGAGAACACCAAATTGACTCTCCCTTCTTCCTTCGACCATGACCTGCTGGTTCGAGTTCAGAAACTTCAACGACGATGGCGTCTGAGCAACTTGACTAACAGTGAGTGATTTTCAACCATTGCATCTAGAGATGGGCATTCGGTCGGTTCGGTTTCGACCGAACGGAAATTATGAATACAGGGTCCCCGAATTCTCCCAAACCTCAAATCGAATTCGAACCGAATTATAATTCGGTTCGGTCGGTTTAAACTGAACTATAATTTGGTTCGGTTTTTCACACAAAACCGAATTTGTGAAGCTACTTGTATTTTCTCACTTTTAAATTATTTTTCACCCTAATATAAACAATAAATATCAATTATATGCATCATGAATGATAAAACCAAACTTTTCAACACATAAGTCATAAAACATTTCAAATATTTAAGTCTAAAAACAACTACAAACATAAAAATCCACCATTTGGAGCTTACAATTATAGTATTTCGGTTTTTCGGTCGGAAATTCAGAAATTCGGTTGAAAGAACCCTGATTTCCGAACTATCCATATTTTCCTTCCGAAATCGGAACCGAATAGCATTAGTTCGGTTTCGGTTCAGTTTAATTCGGTTTCAGTTCGGTTCGATTCGGGTTTACCGAACCGTTTGCCCACCCCTTATTACATGTTTTCAATTTGAGATTTTAGGGTTATTTAGAGTTCTAGTAATTTCTTATTTTTGATTTCTGGCTTTTGAGTTTTGACATAGTGGAACAGAAACGGAAGTGGGATCGCTCTCCTTCCCTCTCTCGATCGGATTATGATCTCCGGCCGCCTTTCTCGTTTCTGATTAACAGGTCGTCGGCGGCCAAAGCGATGGCGAATGACAATGAGAAGACAAGCAGGGATAGAGACCTATTAGGAGGAGCAGTAGTCGATGAGAAGAGAAGCAGACGATGGAGTGGAAGAAAACAATTATCTATGTTTTTTGCTTGGGTTAGCATTTGGGGAGAACGAGGAAGAAGATAGGAAAGAGAGAGCAGAGGAGAGAGGGTTGGCAAATATAAAAAAGAAAGGGAAAGTGAAAGGTTTATTGTCCTGGCAAATAAAGAAAAAGGAAAAAGAGTGTTAATGGACACTTTCTCTTCGATTTGGGGGTGAAGATTAAACAGTGACTTGTCCATCCATTTTCACTCCTCTCGTCACTGTGCCTGCTTTCGGGAACGGGGTAAACTCGAAAATCCCACTTTTCCCCTAATCTTT